TATTAACACATTAACAGGTCGCTACTCGTCTGATTTATTTGGATAATTCATAATTATAATATGCAGGAGGCATCATTGGTAGCCGACACGTGACAGTGCAAACAATATATAAAATATGCGCCGGAAATTTGTTTGCTCCTAGCAAACATAAAAAACAATGAATACTTAATAAACACAACAACACTATAGCTATTAAATGTCAAATTAATTTTCATGCCATTAAATGCAGCAAGTGCTACACAAAGAACCAAAAAATAAACCAAAAATATAGAATAAATGTTCAACAATCAAACGCAAGGAAACACAAATCAAAGCGAACGATTCAAGGTTTTCCAAGCAAGAACAGAGAACGAAAACCCGCAGAAAAATAATGGGAAAACTGGAGATGAAAGGAAAACAGACCAAACAAGGAAGGAAATTTGTTTTCGGCCATCGATGCTTCAGATACACTTGAAAAACTACTTATATGGGAAGAGAGCAGATGCAGGTCATAGGTAGATTTCATATTTTGAGACATACATTAATTTGGAATACACAGATTGGGATTTCATGAGGGTCCTGTCAAGGGTAAGTGAGCGATAGGTCTCAATAGCCAATCAAATAGATCAGAAAAGAAAGAATGCTGTCAGATGAGGCTCGTTCCTGTTGAATATTATATGGAGAAAGACAAGTTTAAGAATGAAGTTAGTTTTAGGGATATTTCTGATTACCATATGCTCATACTTTGTCTTCTGCTTTCTTGTAAGTGCACACCAAGCCTTAGCTCCTTTTCGGACCGTGTCTTTTGGCGTCAGCCAGGGATACGTCTTTCTGTACACCCGCAGATAGTTCCAAAAGCCATTATTGGCTAAACCGAGACGTTTTTGCAAACGAATACTACTCGTTTCTTGCATAAATTTCCTTTTATTAGTGCATTTTTTATGTTTCTTGCGCCTTTTAGGTGGCACCATATCTACTATCAGCTCTGTTCCAAAAATGTTTATTATACATTTTTTCCAAAGCCAACTATTGTCTATGCCCTAGAAACAGATATGGATCCGACTGCCTGTGGATAGGTCCGCAGATAAGTCGGTTGATAGCTCCCCTTAAGTTGTGGAACACCATCGAAAGGGATCAGATATCGTTCTCGGTGTCACAAGCATCAAAATCACAATGCTGCCTGCAAGGGTATAGACAAAAAAAAGAAAGGGAAATGAAAGCAAAACATAGACCGAAAACTGTGCATAAGTGCGGCTTAAAGGGCGACTGGCTTAAGGTCTTAGGCGTCGTCTGAAGAGTGTGCACATGGGGACTGGGGGACTGGAGACTGGGGGACATGGGTAATGCCATTGGAAACGTGCATTGAGCTAGCAAAACAAATAAATATGGCTATACAATTTATCCAGTCGAAAGTTTCCATTCCATGGACCCATGGAGTTGCTCTTTTATTTACCAGCATGTATTTACATAGATTTACATTGAAAACACTTTAAATGCCTGGCAATCAACGCCTGGCTGACTGAGGACCTCAGCTAAATCGGATTGGAGCGGACTGGAGGCTGGGCAGGGACTAGGACCTGTGCACAATTGTCCTGGCTGAAACATAGTTAAATGACATAAAAGACCGATGCCCCCTGGCTCCCAGGCCTCTCGAAAAGTGCAACGAGGTCGACAACACATACAGAGGCAAACTTTGTGGTTAAAACTAAAGTGGCCTTTTTAGCATTCTACAAATACCAAAAAAGAAGGCAGGGAAAGTGTCCAAATAGTTGAAAGTAGAAGAGAATTTTGTGCCTGCTCATCTGCATTTGGCCACAGTTTTCGCTTTGGCCTCTTTTTTAATATTTCAACACATTTTTCGCACTGCAATGGAGGAGCACGAACCGGGCCAGGACAAGGACCAGAATCAAGTCCAGGTCCTGGTCCAGTCCAGTCCAGGAGTCCAGCGTCGAGGACTTTGGTCTTTCGTGTCTCTTTGCGGTAATTTATGCATGCTGTTTGCGTTCACTCGACTTTTTGGCCTTTGCTGGTTATAAAATAAATAAGAGATGTCACAAAAATGCTTTGACACGCTTGTTACTCTGCCGAATATTCGTAGAGTAAGTTCCTGAGCAATATATACAAATTTACTTGATTTAATAGAGGTTGCACGACACGTTTTCCTCCGATACTTTTTTTGTTAATTAAGCAAACCCTTATATTCTATCTCTGTCTCAGCTTTAATGCTCATTCAAGTGCTGTGGTTTATGCTGTTGATGTTGATCCTCGCTTAATGCTGGGAAGTGTCATCCTTTATGGGTCTAACAGAAATTATCGCCAGTAGGCCATGTTCCAAGGCCAGTCAACCAGGCCCCAGCCCAGGCCCAAAGAATTGTCTTTGTTCCGGGTCGGAGAGGCTTTGGGGCGAGAGCTTATCACAGAATTGGCAGTTAGACTTAATTGAATATTCAAATGGTGCTGGGGCTGGGAAAATGGCCTGGGAATACTCATGGAGCCTCCCCCGATTCTACTTTAACTTTCAGCAAAATATTCTCCATTGAACAATAGTTCTTTAAAGACTTTTTAATTGAATTATTCCCGACTGAAGTGTGGAAAAACGACCGCTTTAATTGAAAGTGAATCATTTTTTTTTTGTTTTATTAACGCGGTCGCACTTTGTATTCTTGTAATTGAATTATAAATTGTGTGTGGATATGAAATAAGAGCGCTTAAGTTTGGAAAATTTGCATAAATAATTAACATAAAGTGGCAATGCATTGTAAGCCATTTGCATTAAAAGTGTTGAGTCGAATAAAACCGTATTAAATTTTAAATAGAATTTAATTCGAACAATTCCCATCTCTGAGGAGTCGGTCCTTGTTTGTACTTTATCTACTAAGAACTCTTGGTGATTCTCAGAGGACAACACTTTGAGGAGGTCCCCATGCATGGGAGATTTTATTTTATATATTTTTGCCATCCTTCTCTTCCAGTTGGATGACTTTTGTGTTTCTTGGTGCTATTTTCTTGGCTCTCGCTGAGTGGTCTAATGAAAAGCGTCCAAGTGAGATTTACTTAAACAAATTCCAAGACATTTCCCCAGGCACTAGCCAGATGTCTTGGCCCCTCCGCTCTGAATCTTTTGGATGCATTTTGGTAACATTTTCACAGCTGGCCTTCGCTCGCTTTTCCATCGAGTTTTCTCATTTGGCTGTTTCGAAGTTTGTATAAACTCTGAATAAAATTAAATGTGTTCATTTGCCTATGCAAAATTCCACTATGGCCGGCTTTTTTAAATGCCATAAAAAGATGAGAAAAATGCACAAATAAATACGAAATAAAATACAAGACAGCTTTTGTTTAAATGCCTTTTATGTGCAATATTGAGCCAGCAGGCATACATATGAGCAATAAATCAATGGCAAATAATTCATGTGCATATTGAATATTTTTGCAGTGCGCGCAGTTCGCACAGATCTCGAAAATGTTTGCTAAATAAAACGAGAGTATTACACTCACACAAATCCCGATTTATATGTTTCAGTCAAAAAAAATTAGCTTAAACAAGGCTTTGACTTTGCGCAGGACCTTAATTAGAGCGTCTTTTTCCTAATTCCCTCTCAGGCGGGGAATGTTAAGCCAAATGAATTATAGTATTTGTAGTTAGGGATGGACTTAATGATACCTAAGATACCTAAGTGTGAGCACTTTTTATCTACGATTTTATACTCGTTCCAGATTACATACATACATATGTATGTATTGAGAATAAAGATTACAAAAAGATTATTTGAATGCCATTGTGGGTGTCAAATTTATTCCATTATTTAGACTACCCCACAAGCCTCGCCCTTACAGGGTATGGCAACAAAAGGGAATGTTTTTGCCTTGCAAAAAAAGTACAGGACAAGACGCAGACCCGACATAGTCGTCGGCTGTCGGCGACCGGAAATGGCATTAGTACTCAGGCCCAGCGCCCTCCTCGACATTATAATTAAATGCGCTGGCCGCGAGGCTCCCGCTCGCCAGGTCTGGCCATCGTCTGACTCCTCCAAGGGCCACTCGGGGCACGAATAGTGCACCCTGCAAATAATTAGCATGGCTACGAATCCTGTGAGTAATTAAGGTAAGTCAGCTGTTGCCCTCGTCTCAAAGAAGCGGGTAGGAAACAAAAAAAAACTGTCGCCCATTGTCAACGGAAATTAAAGTTTAATGGGGCAACGAGTTCAGTTTTTTAGCTGCGATTCGCATGTGGAAGTGCGCGATGAGCTTGTCGCTCTATTTTTTATGCCAGCCAAATGCTGGTTGCATTTCCAGCTATTAAACTAGAATTTTACCAACCAGTTGACAGGAGCACAGGCTGCAGCTGCAAGGCGAGAAAATTGGTGTAAAAATACGGGAAAATTCCCGGCGAGAGTTTTATTTTAACTGGTGGCATGTGAAAAGCAATTACAGAAGTGATTTGGAAATAATTTCCAGAGGGGAAATATTTGGTAAATTGCTAAAAACAAAATCTACCAGGGCATATAGGAATTTGAGTATTTTTGTAAGGGAAAAGTTGCAGTTTATAAACAAAATAATTTCCACTGGGAACAGATGGTTTTTAGATAATATTTGAGTCTGGTTTAAGCCTTGCAGCCATCTGAGGCTATACCTAATGGCCAACAGCAAATAATCCATTCACAACGACGTTTATATCACTGATGTGGTAATGGCTCATTGTTTCAATTGTCCATTGTGCGGGGGATATTACATTAATTAATTAGACACCTGCATGGAGTGTACACATATCTCGGCCACTTGTTGGCTCTCATTGGTAGGCAAATATGAGTTTATTTATTATTGAATTCCGTGTATTCCACTGAATATTGGCTGGCTCAGAAACAACACTTTATCTAGGTCGCTTTTTGCGCTCTCTCGATTAGATTCATTTAATCAACCGAATGCTATCAGCGAATGCTATATACTAAACACTGTCTACGAGTAGTCAGAGCGAAACTTAGTTAAAAAGACACAAATTTGTACACGTTTTTTGGGAAACTTTTGTTTATTTAATACTTATTTTATATCTTGGGTGTTAATGCTTAAATTTTCTTTAAGCTCTCAATTTATTTGCACAACACATAGGCCAAGAGCATTTTGATAGCGAATCGGGGTTATTAGCACGACATTTTTTTATACGACAACTCAGCCAATTAGTCACAGTACTCGTTCTAATGAAGCGGAATTTTGGGCCTGATTTTCGATTGTGGGATCACCGTACTTTGATGGATTGAACCTCTAGAAAAATCATAAACACCGCAACGGCCACATAGGCAGCAACGATGAAGAAGATGTGCAGGAGGCTGGTAGTGAAGACCTGGGCCACCAGGATCACGGTGCCCAGGCTGAAGACGCAGCTCAGGAAGACGATCATCAGGATGGTGGACCAGTTGCGAAACCAGGCCAACTTCTTGTCCGGAGGGGAGACATACGTCGGCTTGAGCGGGCTGTACTCCTTCCGGTACTGGTCCTCGTAGCCGCTGGTAAAGTCGATCTCGTCGTTGGCCAGGCCGGGGCCCGAGGGCTCCCTCGCTTTTTTATTGTCCGTGTCCATTTCGAGACGCGTTCGCCGCTCAACTACGGGTCCGTAACTGGCGGCACAGGGAGCGCGAAAGAGCGTCTATTTCAGTATCTGTTTCCATTTTAGTTGATTACCAATCATCAGGGCCCAAGCAGTTGTTGGCTGCGTCATTATCGCAGCGGCAAAAGGTGTTAATTGAGGCAACAACGAAACAAACAGAAAAACAGAGAAACGGAGAAACAGAGAAACCGAGAAACAGCCGGAGCTGACAATCTTTCTATGTCGTTTTGTGAGTCAGATAAGATATTCGTTTTCTCGCCAGATACCCGAGAACAAGAGAACTGCAGAGCTCCCACAAAACAAGAGCCCGAGATAATGAAAACATAAAATGCAAAAAGAGAGAAAACTCTCATGGCACAAGGAATCTTATCAATTTCTATCATGACTCTCCGAAGTCCGGACTGTGCTGCTGCGTTCTCTTTGACCACACAGCATTTCGGTCTTTAAAATACTCTTAAAATCTTGTGATAATTGTCCAGTGATAATTTTTGTTTGTACTACTACTATGTTTTGCCTTTGCAAACAAAGTTGTGGCCTGAGGCTTTTTTTAGAGTTCTTTTCCCATTCAAGGCGTTCCGTAGTATTTGTAAAATAAGATCAAAGAGACCGTTTTCAGCTTTATTATACAAAATTTCGATTTGAAGCCAGCACTTTTATTTTAATAAAGACTGATTTTTCCTTTGATTGATCCTATATCAGCTATATCTGACTTCTAAATGTATCTTCTCTACAACAGCTATAGTAATCCGATGTGGAAAAATAAACAATCATTTGAGGCTAGAAGATTATAAAGTTCCGATGTCAGTGGTTTTGCTATGATACCTTTTCCCCGGACGGTTCTTGAGAAGTATCTGAGGTCAGTCACAAACACTCGCTATGCGTCGCATCGTGGCACATCCGATGGCAGAGAACAACAGAAAATTGAGTACAAGAAAAGCAAACAGTGTACGGGTCGGTTACGAAACAGCAACAATGAAACCCAAGTTCGCATAAAATAAAAACTATACAAAATTTCATCGAGTGTGAATACAAAGTTTCAAAATTTATATCTGGAAATCATTTTTCAAGTATTTGAAGTACACCCAGAGAAAAAAGCCCTCAGCACTCGCTCACTCGCTCTATATAAAGCTCTTTTATTTATATTTAAATCAAAGTAAATTGTATTTAAATTCATTATGCTTTTAAATAAAAACCGAATATTTAATTTAAATGTGGGTGTGTTTCTTTTTACTATTGCATTCTTCTCTCAGTGTATTTGAAGTTTCTACCTTATTTTGGCATGTTTAAACTACTTTAAACTCTTAAAAATTGATAAACCACTATATAAATAATATTTAAATGAAATTCTTGCAGTGTAGAAATTCAGCTGGATTTGTTTTCTTGGAATTTGTATGAAGCAAGCGCATTGCACGGGATTGACAAGCTCTCGTTGAACTGATTCTTTAGTATGCTAAGAGCCTTGAAGCTGCAAAGATCAGAACCAATTCGAAAAGCAATGCGGTAATATAGCACTTTTTAAGCCTCTTTGAGTAGTGAAAAATATAATGAAATTGCGTATTCCTTCCAGTGACGACAAGGAGATATTGTTAGATGGCGACAGTTACCGTGACATTGTCGAGATGGATCACCCTGTTCATGTGTCAAATGAAGAACAGCAACAAGATCCACCTGAACATGTGTATATGTCAATTGAAGAGCAGCCACCGGCAGAGTTGGACATTCTTCAAGGCGAGTCTCGATTTTCTAAATTTCTGCACAATTGGAACAGTGTGGGAATTTGCCTATTTTATAATCTATGCATGATTGTGTTAGTGGTGGTAATATTTATCTACAAGCGAAAGTATTAAAATTCAAAGATACGACAAACATTCAACAATTAGTTCAAAGAGCAACACGATGTGGTACTCGGAAGCCAGCTTAAATGGGCCAAATGGGTTAACATCAAAGAAAAGCGAAAGCTGCTTTTGTGATCTCCGACCTCCGAAGACCCTAAATGGATTCCAACTTTGTTCTTCTTTATAGCAGCCAAACAATTTAAGTTGTTGACAAAGTCATCAGCATGCAGCAGGCGGCAGCAGGCAGCAGGCGGCAGGCAGCAGGCAGCGACTCCCCAAGATACCAGCGCACTCGTAATGCCGCATCAGCAGGAAAAAAGGCAAAGCAGACTTGCCTCTGTTGCACTTTCAGTGTTTCAGCTGCCTTTCAGTTTTGTTGACAGAACTTTTATTTGATGCACCACAAACTCAACGGAAACGGACTGAGCGGGACTGAGGGGGAGGAAGAGGGCGACAAACATCAGCTGAGGAGTGGCTTTCGATGGCTTTCTGTTCAGCAATTAGGCAAATCTTTTGAGGCCAATTTGTTTGTTCTTTTTTCTGGATATTGTGCCACTTCTGGAGCACCCTTTCGACTTTATTGTTTTGCCATTACGAGAGAGAGCAACAGCAATTAATGTGGCCATACCCATCGGTCTACAATATAGGGGTCCCTCATCTTATGCAGCCTTTGCACAGACTCCTCGGATCCGATCATTTTATGGAAATGATGGATCGGCTCGTAATGGAAAGATTTTGCTGATTCTCATTCTGTTGCTCTCCCCATGCGACCCTTGATTGAACAGCCCAGCTTTTCTTCTGTAGCATTTTACAAATTCCTTTTACTTTTTTGTGGTTTTGGGTGATGCTTCTATCGTTCGACCTAATCTGTCTTGCGAACAGCCCCATAAATCTCTAAGCCTCACACGATTGAGGCCCATTTCTTGCACCTTGGCCGAGGCTCATTATTCAAATCTAAGACGCGGCTTAAAGTAAAGGCGATAGAAGGACCCATACAAAACAAATACAAAAAACACAAAAGAAAAGAATCAAAATTCATGGGGCGGTGCGCGAGAATTATAGCGACTTACTTGATGGTTTAAAGGCGCTTGTGCCACAGGACTTGCCCCTGCTTCTGGACGGGGCCATGCGTTTGTTGCTGCAAACTTTTTCCATCAAAAGTTTCGGTTTTCGATACGCCTGCTGGTGGCAGTAGCAGCAGCCACATCCAGCTCCAGCTCCAGCTTCAGGTTGGGCTTCAGCTCGGAAAAAGTGCCACTTCCGCTTTGCGTCAGTGCACACGGCTGCCGAGCACAAAAGTGTGACTGAAGTGGTTTCTGCTTCCAGCCCCATCGGTAGGGTGCCGCCGCCAAACGACAACCACGGACCGGGTGCTGGTGGTGGTGCTGGTGGCGGTGGTGGTGGCGCCGGTGCCGTGCAACGTTCAGGTGTTAATTAACTGGGGGCCGGACTGCGGCAAGTACTAAATTTAAAACTGCAACTTGCCCAAAATTAATGAGACTTGCATTTGTACGAATTACGCGATGGGAGATTATAATTTGCCTGTGCTACTTTTTTGGTTTTTTTTTTTGGCAAAGTGAACTTTCAAGTGGCCGAGGAGGATGGCCGTCAGAGCCATGAATATTCAGAGGTCTGCTGAAACATTATATCATCTTAATTTAGTTGGGAACGATGTACTCAGGTAGTTTTAAGGAACGATGCTATAAATTATAGAAATTATATAAACTTTGCCGGTATCCTGTATCCTTTGTCTCCATCTATTATCATTTCCACGTATTTAAACATATTTTAGCATTTAATTTACACACAGTTCACTGTTCTAAACTTAATTAAACCTACAGACAAGCCTCATATTAACAAGTGCTTGAAATCCAGACACCATTGATGTCTGTGTGTCATCAGTCTTTGGTCTGTGTGTGTCAGCGAGGAATGTTGGCCAACTACTTAGGGGATATTAGCCGACAAACAGAGGAGGAGACGAGGATGAGTCGAGTCTCGTCCGAGTGAACTGTTGAGCTCAATGCCATGACACTAAATCAATTGGGCCAAGTGTCTGCTGTGACATGTTCAACTAATGATGATAGATCAAGCAGGCACTAAGTCACTCACATGCGGACTGGCAGTGGGGCCTCGCCTGGTTCTGGTGCCTGTTTCTGGTTCTGGTTCTTGTCCTTGTGCGACACCGTAACTAATTTCCCTGCCGGTTACTTGTAGTCTCCTTTGCCATGTCATCCAATGCCATACCATTCCATCGCATTCCGTTCTATTCAACCCCATCCCAGACGAGTGCTGTAAAGGACATTAAGTCACATGCCGGACAATATGTCAGAGTCATATCTCACCCTTCACTTTCCCCATTATTTATTAATTTGATTTAATGTTGATGAAAATTGTGTGCAACTTTCCAGGGTCACTTGTCCGCCTCATTAGTACTAGTCGATGCATCAAAATGTTATTTATTTCATTAACTTTTTGTGAGTTTCCGGTTCCGCTAAACAGCTGCTAGTTTTGGGCAGCGTTTTATCACATAAATTAAACAAAATAAATTCCAACATCATTTTAATTAAAGGACATAAATAATTTCATGTTAGAAACGTGGTTTTGGGCATTTTTTCCTCTCACTCTTTTCTCATTTTGTCGCTCGAAATTTTAATTAACGAAATGTCGAAATTGCATCTGAATTGCCTTGGGGTTGCGGCGGGTGCCAAAAAACGTGAATTATTAGTAAATATTTGCAAATAAATAAGCAATTATGCGAAAGAATGTTGCCAAATTAGTGATAGTACGCCGGATTGCTGAATGTGTTTGTTGCTTTCCAAAGATAATTAAATTTCTATTTTTGCTCATTGAATTTTCGGACTCATGTGTATGTCCCGTACTGTATCGGCTAGTCCAATCACTAGCCTTAGGCAATGCAGTAAATTAGGAATGTACTCGTAATTATATTTCTCTATTGTATTCTACTATCTACTTGATTTTTCGAATCATTGACACCTCTAAGGATTGTACAATTCGTACGTTTTTTCCAAATATGTAAATAATTAATTTGATTTAATTTTTATTTTCACTAGAATTATCTAGAAAAACTCTTCAGGATTGAAGAACATACAAGTAGGTTTCAATTAGCTGTTGGAGTGCTCTTAAGGGTCCTGCACACACACAAATATTTTAAATTTCACATAAAAATCCGTATTTCCATATCCTTCGTCTGATAAATTTCCCTCCAACGTTCCCCGAAAACATTGACAGTCAAGGACTGCCTGCCTAATCCTTTGCTACGGAGTGTTATCTTTTCCACAGAATGGCTGTCGTCTGATGAGCATGTGCTTGAAAGAGAGTCTTCAAGACGAGAGTCTTCAATCACAAAGGTCTTTGGCGATTCTGTGGAAAAGATTACGCTTTTCGGGCACAATTAAATACACAATTAAATATATTTTGAATTGGAATTTATATATGAAAATTCAGAGCATTAGAATCCTAAATGGAGCAGCAACTTTGTTTTAAAGTCAGATTTAGACAAATGAGTGCAATTGAATTTTTCACGTATTTAATTGAAACGCATTTTGCCAGATTGCATGCAATTATACATACATCTATGTGGACTAATTGCAGCCATATGTTTTTTATTAAATTATAAATTTCATTTGCATTGGCAGTGCAAAGCCTCCGCAATCGGCTTACTCTCTAATGCCCATTAAACGTAATTAACTTTGGGCACATTACTCGCATTGGGTACTCGCACCGCCGCCGCAAATAAATAAATGTTGCACATTTTGGGGCAATTTAAAAAATACTTCGGTTAAGTGGTGACAAATTGGTCGTGAAGTTTGAAATTAATTTTATACTATTTTGACAGTTAATGTTTTCCCTGTTGGACTTTTGGACTGTTAGTTTATTAAATTAAGCAGGCATTAAACGTGACTGCATGTCTGTGGGCCTGGTATTTGGGTCATCAGTGGGAAAAACCAGCGCCAGTTCCAGTTCCAGTTCCAGTTCGAGGGCTGGAATTTAATTAAATGCGCGAATAAATTATGCAATATAATGGCAAACGCACTCACACGGTGCCCTTGCATATGGAATCGTATATTTCATTGCCTTTGGGTTAATACAGGGCCCCGAGAGAGAGAGAGAGAGAGAGAGAGAGAGACCCAGACCCAGACCCAGCGAGACACACAGTCACTGGCATAATTATATTTCCAAATATTGCATTCTGCACGCCGAAAAGTATGCCAGTCGCTGTCGACTGGTGTCGCCTCGTCCTCATCCGGGGTCCTGTCCTAGGTCCTGCACTATTATTAATGCAATTGCTGTGGCGATGATGGGGTGGCGCCTCCCCGAGACCACAATTACATCCCAAAACGTACATTATTACTCTGGAGATTTGCGAGCTTAATTCTTGTTAACCATTACGCTTTCCTCTGAAAGAGAAACATCTATTCTGCCTATTTTAAGAGGGGTCTTTTCTATCCCAAACATATACTTCCCCGCCATCCTCAGGGATACATATATGTATCGTAGAGCTCTTGTTTGGCAGGTCGGATAGCGAGCAGGATGAGGTTGTATTTTGGCGATTGCCACCATAGGTTTTCCTCTCACTGCAGGACTGTTTACTCATTAGGTATCCTAAAGTCTAGACAGCTCTGTAATTTTTACTTCACTCTTGCATCATTGACTTTTTGGAAAACAAGGTTTTTGGTGGTAATGGTGATAATATTGTAATGAGATTGCAAATGAAATCATTATCGGGAACATAATCGAATCGGAGGGCGATTGTCGACAGCCTGAATAACCGCACGGTTTGTTTTGGCTGCCATTTGCGTGGGGCGGATATGGTGGATATGGGCGTGTCACAGTTTCAATTTACATGCTTGTACTTCACACGCATGTCCATAATTTGCAACACACGCATACTGGTGCACACCCGCACCCACGCACACATACAAGTGCAACAAAATTGCCATTGCCTCGGCTTGTTATTGTTTCTGCTGCCACTTTCCCCGCTGCTGTTTCCC